TCCTCCTCCTCGTCCTCCTCCTTGTCCTCCTCCTCCTCCTTGTACTCCTCCTCCTCCTTGTCCTCCTCTTAATCCATGTCTCATTCATCCTTACACTTGACCATTATATTATTGAATGTGACACTGTCAAAGACTTCAGGCCACCTGGCTTATTGTATCACGAACTATGTAATTACTACATTGAATCAGGAGTGCTTGAGGGCTGTCTACCCAAAATTTGCTAGCCCACACAGATAAGTCCTCAAATATAATATAATTTCTACTGTACATGAACCACTGTTCTGCGTGACACTGAACAGTGATATCACCCACATGACTCTGACCTATATATACAATTAATGAATATGATCTATTTCTTTGTGTATGAACCTCTGTCCTATGTGGCAGTGAGCAATGATACCACCCTCAGTGTCAAGACCTGACTGAATTACTCACAATAGGCAAACTGTGCTCCAAGCTTTGTCAATAGATTTGTTAACCATTCTCTCTTAATCCGTCGTCCTTTACTTCCTCATCTTTATCGTCCTCCTCATTTACCTCCCTCCTTCTCCTTTACCACCTCCTTCTCTACTTTCTCCACCTCCTATACTTCCACCTTCCTCACTTCTCTATCGCTACCTCCTCCTCTATTCTCATTTTCCTTCTCCTCCTCCTCCATCTTTCTCTTATCCAATTTTGTCTCTCTTTTCTAACACATGACGCCTTTCGCTTTACATGGAGGTCTGTACCGCTCGCTTTCACTCTCAGCTGAGGTGTATTAGGATGCCTTCAAGACTTTATAGCTAGAATCGTCTGTCTGTATCTCTGTATCTCTCTGTCTCTATCTCTCTGTCTCTATCTCTCTGTCTCTATCTCTCTGTCTCCCTCTCTGTCTCTATCTCTCTGTCTCCCTCTCTGTCTCTATCTCTATCTCTCTGTCTCCCTCTCTCTGTCTCCCTCTCTCTCTCTCTCTATCTCTCTGTCTTCCTCTCTCAAATTCCTAACATACCTTTACCTGCCCAGCAATACATTACTATCAACATAAGCACACATTACACGCGCGTGAGTTAACATACCAACTCCCGCACAACCATATACCCAGCCGACCACACACACACACACACCCTTACTGCACACACACACACACACTACACAAACACACCTCCCCACCCCCCCCCACACACACACGTACGTAATACCGGTACACATTAATCTATCAGTGGCAGAACCTGTGGGCGCCTGTCTGGGAAGGAACACCTGGGCGTCACAAGCAGGAGACAGTGTTAAGGCCACCTAAGACTGATGATTGTGGCTGTTACCTGGCTAACCTTAGTGTGTGTGTGTGTGTGTGTGTGTGTGTGAGCGAGCAATAGCGATCACCTGAGTGACTAGATACTAGGAATTTGCGTCTAAGGGAGCTGTGAATAAATAGTGGATACTGCTAAGACATTCAGGTGCACACTAAGATATTCAAAGCCACGCTAAGAGATTAAGGTACACACTAAGACATTCAGGGCCACGCTAAGACATTCAGGTACACACTAAGACATTCAAAACCACCCTAAGACATTCAGGGTTACGCTAAGACATTCAGCGATACCTTAAATATATTTGTGGACAAGCTTAAGGCTTTGGTGGTCACTCTAGGACAAGGGAGGATGTTAGGGACAAACCAGGATGATCAAGGGGACACGAGGACATCCAGGCACACACGAAAAACTCCAGGGACACACTAAGACATCCAGGGACACAAGAAGGGCATTCAGGGACACACTAGAACATTCAGGGACACACTAGAACATTCAGGGACGCTCCGGGACGATCACCTGGTATGACAAACCTGCCCGGCCTGTCATTACCACCACGACACAGGTAAATATTGTGAATAAACTGCGGAGGTGAGACGCCGGTGGAATGTACTTACCTCTGTGTGTCTGTGTTGTTTTTTTCACCAGCTGGGAATGATAGATTAGATCCGGGAGAGGAACTGATGCCTCGGGTCCTAGACAGATATATTCCCTGTCCACCAGTTAGGTTGATAATCCTATAATAACGAGGTGTTTTGGTGAATCTAACGAGGATTTAGGAGTTAGCTCGGTGTGGTCACGATTGGGATAGAGTTGTTATGCTGGGACTAGGGTTGATAGATGATTGTATATCAGTTAACGGGTCTGGGGATTGACGTGGTGGAGGCTAGGCAAACTATTTCTCAGGGCGTGTGTCTTGTTTTTAATTACACCTCGACCCGAAAAAGGCTAAAGTTTAATAAGGAATAGTCGAAGCTGAGAATAATTATTGTAAGGGAATTCGCACGTCAGAATACCATTATCTTTACCTCAACTTTTAATTTCGTTTTTTAATTTCCATTTTACTATTTCTGGAACTCCTGAAAAACCAATGATATCATGAAAGACGGATATTTATATTTGGGTTAGGTTTTACTATATATGAATAAACCAATTTCTTATATCCTTCGTGAATGTGAGACCGCCATCGTTTTCATTTTATTCTTCAAGTAAATTTGCATATCTTGAGGGTTTTGGTATTTTCGCACCTGTACACACGTTTACATGCACACAGCCACACGTACAAGCACTCACTCACTCACTCACTGTCATGGAACTCTTTTTCTCTCTCTCGACTCTCCATCAAGCTATAGTAATGATCACTGGCTCTGACTCAAGTGACTCTGATAACCTTCTTCTTCACCCTCACCAAGACTCAAGTACCACCAGTCTTATTACTCCTGGTGATGAAGGAGGGACGGAGGGGGGGGGGGGTGGTCTTGTGATTGGTGACCCCTTAGCGATACTGTGTAGGATAACCTCGATAGCCATTTGCTGCTTCTTGATATCTTCCTTAATATGTTTCTTACTGATAGCATTATGACGTTATATACAGGATAGAATGCTTCTTATTTTTCGTTATAAAATAGAGGTCTATGGCGATTGTTTTTTAGGCATAGAGGATGTTAGCTCCCACTTGAAAGTTTCCCTGGAGTATGACTTAATCTCAGTTGTCAAGTGACTTTAGAGTTTTAAGTGTCAATACTACTGGGTCATGTCCCCGCCCTGAGGCCTTGTAACACTGCCGTGGGCACTCTGGGGATGTGTGTTCTGTATACTGTTACTTGTTGTATTACCAGTTTGTCGTAGCACAGTTAATAATGATAATGTAAACTTAATATAGTGTAATAACTATTTAGCTGTTCAGATCTGTTCATAAATTATTTTCTTCGTTTATTTTCCCTTCAGTCTGTAACGTAATTCATTGTACTTAGGTTGTTACAAGGAAGATGTAAACTACAGTAGAGATAAATAAGTTTATTAAAAACATAAACAACATGTTAAACCTTAAAGGAATAGCACAACTCTTATGAGGATTGACCACAAGCCCAGGTGAGGCATCAGGTGTGGCCACTCCAATAAAACACGCCAATACACCTCCTTGTAGGAAGTTGGTTACGTCTCACAGATACAAGACAGTATTCTTGTAGAACACGGACTGATTACCACTCACATCATCAGTCATACAACATCACAAGAACTACCTGTGTGTGCCATTCATACACAGTCACTCAATAACACTCACAATGGATGCACAAAACTCACGTATACGAAAATTAAACCAAGTGATGTGTTGAGACCAAGACACACACTGAAGCACAAAGTTTATCCTCACACACACACACACACACACGCATGGTCGCGAAGCATGATGGCTGCTAGTTTCCCACTCTACCTTTACTAAGATGAGAGTTTATGCTAATTGAGAACATTGGACGGTGGAGTCTGAGGGTTACGGAGAAGGCATCTTGTCCTTCCTGCTGGGGGCGTAACTTGAGGGGGTTATCATACACAATTGATCTCTCCTTGACGGGTGAAACTTAGAACATTGGACTGTGGTGTGGTTGATGGGGGGGAGGTAAGAATGACGGGAGTACATCCATCTCCAACTACCAAAAGAGTATTGTTAGTAGTGGATGTGGAAGGATATTATAAACAAAGAGGAATTGGGAGTCGTGGGGGGGGGACTATTTAGAACATTAGACATTGGAGAAGGCGAGTATGGCGTCGACGGAGACACACTACACGCATCTCTTATAGGTAACAAGACGACGGTGGTAGTAGTAATGAAACGATCGGAAATAAATTCATGCATAGAGACACAAAATCAACATTCAAGGCCTTGTGGTCTTGTAAGGTCCAGAAGTCGATGCCTGCGGTAGAATGATGGACGTTGACGCTAATAATTACTGCTCCTCATCAACTAACATCTATCAGACTTTAAGTGTGTATTTTAAGTCTTTATTTATTACTCTAGTCGTCAACAATTAAAAATATAGTGACGGTGACCCCCTAGTGTTTGTGGTGACCTCCTAGTAGTTGTGGTGACCTCCTAGTGTTTGTGGTGACCTCCTAGTAGTTGTGGTGACGACCTAGTGTTTGTGGTGACCTCCTAGTAGTTGTGGTGACCTCCTAGTAGTTGTGGTGACCTCCTAGTAGTTTGTGGTGACCTCCTAGTGTTTGTGGTGACCTCCTAGTAGTTGTGGTGACGACCTAGTGTTTGTGGTGACCTCCTAGTAGTTGTGGTGACCTCCTAGTAGTTGTGGTGACCTCCTAGTGTTTGTGGTGACCTCCTAGTAGTTGTGGTGACCTCCTAGTAGTTGTGGTGACCCCTTCATCCCGCCTCTTCCTCCATCTCTGTTATCCATCCCACCTCCATCTCTTCTTTATCTCCCCTCCTCCATCCCCTTCCATCCCTCCTCCTCCTGAGTGGTAGGAACTTGTCTCACTGACTCGTACTTTAAGTAGAGTATCATAAACCTACGACACAAAATAGGAGATGTAACTTTGCCGTTAATAAGGTGTCGGTTAGTGAGTTTATCTTGATAATGGATTTAGCTAAACATTAGGTTAATGCTCTATTGTTACCATATTTAACCGGGATAGAAGTTATATGTGACAGTTAAGTTAAATTAAAGACAATGTTTATACAAGAACACAAGAGTACACGGGGAGGACCTTAAATACTGAATGGCAAGAACACATTAAGGTATAAGGTAACACTTGATGATTATTATTACACACATGGCGACGTCTCGAGAGTTACACACGATAGTCATTTGTCACTCACACTCCGTCACTCACATTCCGTCACTCACAACACTTAGTTTATTTATGATCAATAACATAAGGACTGGAGGGAGGAATGTATTAAGTATTGGAGCCTCGACACTTAGTAATGTAAAGCTGTAGGTGTCAGTGACTGTGGCAAGGGTCGAGTCAGTTGCTGCCAAGTATAGCTCTCTCCATCTCAGGTTGGCACTCTTTAACGCCCCTCAATGGCACCACAGGGCCACTGTGTCTTGAATGTAGTATTTATATAAAGAGCGAAACTTTCCAAATACCTCGGGTCGTCAGTGTCTGTAAGAGATGACGAAGGATTTTATTTTGTTTCTTAAACTCGTGAAATTTTAATCCTGTTAAGTTTATCCCCGTTAGTGTGAACAACTTAGTGTCTTGTTCCCTCAAGACTTCACTGTTGTTGGTCGTATCACGAAAGCATCTGATGCACATACATAATATATACACTGTTCCACATACTAGATAAAAATCTTTATTTCTGAGGTGTATGACACCCATCACTCAAGACTTAATCTAGTCAGGTCAGGGAGAATTTCTCTAAAGGTCCACCAGAGGGCGGGAACAACAGCGGGCAGTCCTATCTGTCCGTGACTAGCGGAGCCAGGCCGAGCACAGCCTTATACACCAAGGCTGTGTACTCGCTCCTACATACCACTATATTAACACAAATGTTCACAATTTTCTGGCGTGTATGGCGCTGGGTGCACTGCCGTGTATCCGGAGCATACAGCAAGGTGTGCACATACTTGGCACAGCCGCTATGCACAGGCGACGCACACCACCGTGTGCACAGGGGCAAACATACAGGGGTTTGTACAGTGTGGTAGGTGCAGCAGGTCCTGACTGGGCGCAAAGGGATGTAGGTGTGGCCGAGATGGGCGTGAGCAGGTAGCAGACACCTCAGCCCGTGGTGAGTTCCACCCGTCCCCCGCCCACGCCTACACTTTCACTCTCAGAGTCGTCCTCGATGATCTCGTCGTCCTCTTCTTCCTCCTCCATGGGTTTGGAGGCTCTCTCAGGAGAAGCTGAGGAGGCGGAGGAACACTTATCGGAGGTAGAGGAGCTGCTTCCCCCTACTGCAGTTGTTGATCCGCCTCCTCCACCTCCTCCTCCCCCTCCTACTGCACCTCCTTCACCATTATTTCCTCCCCCTTCTCCACCTTCTCCTTCGTCTTCTTGTTGGATTCTCTTCTCTTTCGTCCTTCTGTTCTGGAACCAAACTTTGACCTGAAACAAGAGAATAAGGTTCAGTAGAAGGAGACAAGTATTGTATCACTACTGTACTGTACGTGGTGAAACAAATCCAATACCTGTCGTTTTTATACATATGGTGTATATGTGTATATCTTAAACGTATACATGCACGCATATGTGTTTACGTGTTAGTGTATATAGACGAAGTACTGTACTGGAGGTGGTGGACTGTGACCTTCAGGACCTGGCCGTTGAGAGCATCACACCCAAGTCTGATGACCTGAAGGGTTTGGAGATTTACGTCACAAAACAAACAAATCAAAGACACACAGAGCTGAATCATTTACCTGTGTTTCAGAGAGGTTGAGGGACTGGGCCAGCTGTTTCCTCTCGGCTCCCACCACATACTGGTTCTTCTCAAACGCTTCCTCAAGTTTCAGCAGCTGACTCGGGCTGAACGCCGTCCGGATCCTCTTGGGCTTCCTGAAGGGCTGTAGCAGATACGCCAGCTGTTCAGGACCTGCGGTTAAAATCGGTGCAAATGAGTTAAATGATAGTTTCTATGTTTCACAATAAACAAAAGTGTATCATTAAAAGGATGTGAACTTAATTAACCCTGTTAATTACCGTGAAAAAAAAATACTAGAAGATCAATCCAGTTATGATATACTGTATGGAAATCTTATTCACTTAAATAGACCTAAGATTGATATCAGTGTAGACTTTAATCCTACAATTTAGAAAAATGTTTAATCCCACATCGGCCGCCCCCTCACTTAACTATCAGCCTCGACAATATACCAGCATCTCTCAAGCCTGATCCCTAAGCCCCGTGTGTGTGTGTGTGTGTGTGTGTGTGTGTGTGTGTGTGTGTGTGTGTGTGTGTGTGTGTGTGTGTGTGTGTGTGTGTGTTTTATCTCACTTCCCATCCCTGTAGAATTTCCCACAGACAAATAAACCTCCATTATACCCCATTTTTATCCACTAGTGATCAGGCTCACTCGAGTTAATTTGCGGCGCGACTGTTATAGGTCTCCTCGCCTCGATATCACTTGGCACCACAATACACTGGAGATAAAGATGCCAGATACACCCTACCAATAACCAGCATCCCTGTTACCTTGGCGATTAACCCGTAGTCATGTATAGCCAATTTGGGATATCGTGATGAGAAAATTTGTATTCTAGAAATTATTGACCGAACACTTGGGACGCAGGCCGTCGCTCACGCCCCGGAGACCCCGGCTCTCAGATCTCAATACTGTTGGGGCGGAGAAACCCTTCCTAAATCTCTCATAATGTGCATAAGAGCTTCAATCCGCAGATAAGCGAATTGAAACGCGCACGGCCGCAATACAGCCAACAGGTATTAGCGCTAAGGCTCAACCTCGCACGCAAACACACCCGGCTTTCGACCGTGCCGGATACCGTACTTAGCGTTATCATCACCTGGCCACTTGAGTTTCAGGGCATGAAAGAGGATATTATTACTCTTAGCAGGCACGAGCACCTCTCTCATGAAGTGCTGTCAAACTCGCCTGATTCCGCCTCGGTTTGGTTGGACGTGTCATGGTATATTTCAGCCTTATTTACCGCTCGTGTGATAGTAACTGGGCTGACGGGCAGAGCAAATTGTGGTTTATTTGCAAGGTCGCGTCACGTATTCATGTGCAGTTGTGCTTGCAACGGAAAATCTAAACAGACTTAAATGGAATGAAATATACAGTTGAATACACTAGATATTTTGAGAACCAGGGAAGGAGGAAGATAGGGGAAAAAAAAACGTGAATTATTTAAACTGTAATTTTATCTCTTGTTGGTCAAATTACTGGGAGTGCCACCTTGTTCCGCACTAGTAACTACTCATTCCCGCCTCCTATGAATTGTGTAAACGCCTCCCGGGACCGACCGATCCACCCAACGTAAAGATTCAGAGCCACAGTTTCCATAAGCGAAGAGGTTTTGGGAACGATTCTCTCGATGATATGCGTCGTTCTTGAGAATTTATCGCTTATATTTATGGCCCTATAACTTGACTTGATTAATGAACCGAGGGGCCGACTTGCCTTCCCTCCTCTCCCTTCCCTCTCTTCCTCCTCCCTTCCACCTCTCGGTTTTCTTACGTATTTAGCATAATTCTTCACATCAAACGATACCAATCAGAAAAGGGATTAAAAGTAGCGTGGATTAAGTGTGTCGTGTGGTGCAGGTATCAGGGGTAAGGGGCGGTATAGTATGCTAGGTAGACTCGGTATTATGGCCGCCGTCGCTTTGTTTACCTTGTGTGGCGTGCCTCTTGAAGCCAGGTGTACCAACTGTTCACCACCGACATACAGTTGCTTTGTAGGATATTATTAGCGAAATAGCTTTTATATATATATCTCAACGTTAAGTACATATTCAGTCTTAAACAATACTCGTCTTACGAATGAGAGATAACTAAGATATTGCTAGTTTATTATACTTAATCTTCTTACGAGAGTAGAGTAACCGGTGGTAACACTGTTTGAAAATACAGAGTCGAGGCAACATAGTGGTATCTACTAGTATTCACAAGGGTTATCTGTATGTTACCTTACAGCTAACACATCTACCTTGACGGATCTCCCATGAACCATCAGTTTGGTTCCGCCTCTTAAAATATCGAGCGTGCCAGAGGTGGAGTGTTAATGATACGTGGAAGTGAAATACTGAGGTCCTCTCTCTAATTACAGTAGAGTGGACAGTAAAGGTGGACGGAGAGAGAGAGAGCAGGAGCATGAACAGAAAAATAACCTGACGGAAAATACAGGATCTATAAGTATATTCTGAATATATCGGTATATATAATGTTCCCTTGTTCTTCATACACTGCTTCATGTGACCTTCCACCAAGCTATAAAGACCTCGATCGTAATTAATGAGACAGTCTACGGCGTGTTTCTCCTCCTCCTACTGCTATGCCTTCTGGATCATGATAAATGTAGAAATAAGAAAAATACCCAAAGGAGCTTGAAGTGACTCGAGTGTACCCAGTGCTCGCCTCCCCCCCCATCTCCTCTCTTATCTATGTGTCACTGGTATGATTTCGGGGCACCCCTAAACCACCCAGCTTCTAAATGGGTATCTAATATAGCAGTTAGGGGACGATCAGACATATTTTTAAGGGTATGGATGAAGCCACGACAACCACGTACAAATACAAACCCAGGACCACCCAGCGAGCCACACACACAAACACACACACATACATACATACATACATACATAAACAAACAGGAAGACGGAGGTAAGGAGTGGTGTGACTCTACATAAGTTTACGACCCTGGCTACTCTACACCTGAACCCCCCCCCCTTCCCTCCCCTCACACCCTTAAGTTAAATATAAATATTATTAACAAATATTTTTAACTACAAACCATAAAAAAAAAGTAGAATGCCTTATTAATTAAAGATATAAACAATAAGAAAGTGAGTAAAAAAAATATCATCACTAATCAAAGTTTCGGAAGAGTAGGAAGTAGACACAGACGACAGTGAGAGAACATTACATCTACCTTCCCTCGCACACACCCCCCTCTCACCCCATCCCCACCCCCCTCTCCACCTCCACCCCCACCCCCTCTCTCCCCTCTCACCTCCCTCTCACCCCCACTCTCCTCTCAACCCCCCTTACCCTCTTACCCTCTCCTTCTCCTCACAGGTAAGTACACTACAGGTGAGACCAAATACCTTCAACACCTGACAAGACTTTATAAAACTCAGCTAAATGTATTCAATCACGTGATACTTTGGATGAGATAACAAACTGAGCACCAAGTTTTTATGATTACAAATAAGGTAAAAAAAAGCCTTTCTTCATATATACAATAAATTCAAAAATAAAATATAGGAAAATAACTAAAATACTGATTAAAATAAATAAAATTAATAACTCGTATAGCAAGAATAATTAATTCCCTACAGTACCTTCCTCTTAACTAGCGGGAGACAAGATTAAGGGAGCATAATTTATCATCAACCACAACCGCTCTACCACTTTGTTAATTTGCATACTAACATTTATTTACCAAGACGTTTGAATCTATCGTAAAGAGTTATGAGCCGGAAATGAACCCCCATAATGAAGTACAGACAAACATACGACCAGGTGGACAGATCGAAGTGATTTCTATATCCCTCGTCCACGTCGCTTAATAGAGGGATAATAATACTAATGTCAGCAGCAGACGCAGCTGAGCAGCAGCAGTAGCAGAATCAGTAGCTTAATCAGCAGCAGCAGCAGTAGCAGAATCAGCAGCAGTAGCAGAATCAGCAGCAGACGCAGCTGAGCAGCAGCAGTAGCAGAATCAGCAGCAGTAGCAGAATCAGCAGCAGTAGCAGAATCAATAGCAGAGCAGCAGTAGCAGCAGCAGTAGCAGAATCAGCAGCAGTAGCAGAATCAGCAGCAGCAGCAGTAGCATCAGCAGCAGCAGTAGCAGAATCAGTAGCAGACGCAGCTGAGCAGCAGCAGCAGAATTAGCAGCAGCAGTAGCAGAATCATCATCATCAGCAGCAGTCAGCAGCAGAATCAGTAGCAGCAGTAGCAGAATCAGCAGTAGCAGCAGCAGAAGTAGCAGAATCAGTCAGAATCAGCAGCAGCAGTAGCAGAATCAGCAGCAGTAGCAGAATCAGCAGCAGCAGCAGACTTAGTTGAGCAGCAGCAATTAAAAAAACAATAACAACAATAATAATAACAATGGCAATAATGATAGATAAATAATTATATTTATAATTAATTTGTTTTATACGCAGGAACAATTTATTTCTTGAATGTGAATTTTTTCTCAATATAAGTTGTTGTAAGGTCCCAGTCTACTTTAATATGACTCTTATTACTAAACAATTTATTTCAGGCAACATTAATTAGATCTAGGTGCAAGATCAACTCTCTGCGTGAACTAGTAACTGACTAACTTACTGACTGACGGAGTTGTAGATGAACAGAAGAGTTAAATAACGAAACATTATATAATTTTTTTGTTTATGGTAATCTAGGCATCTTGTAAGTTATTAAAAAAGTAATAAATTCTTCAACCTGGCAAAAATATCAATCCCCCCCCCTACCCTTCCTACCTCCCGGGGCGCCGTCCCCCTCCTCCCCCCATCCCTGTCCTCCCAACACCCCTACCTCTTCCCCCCCCTTCCCCCCCCGTGACGTCACTAAATAACACACACACCTGGCCGCTAATAGATCAGACTCGACGCTATCTGATGGGCCACTCACGAAGAACAGAACATGAGCACTGTCACGCACATAACAACTACTGGACACTTGATAGGTATGAGTAAGGACGTGTGGCGGCAGGGTGGACTCTTGCCAAGGAAAGCGGCATGAATGACACGGGCGTAATTTTATCTAGGACTGAGAGTAGGACACGACCAATAACACGTACACAGCTACTCCAAGACACGGACGGAAGATTATATCTGTGGTAACAAAAGTAACAACACGGATATAACACGACTTTAGGACACCATTACAAAGCAGACGTCAATAAC